TATCTAGTTTGAGTTTTTGCCATCTTACATTTATTCTATTTGTCAACCTCTAACCCATTTTCTGCTGTAAATATGAACCTAAGTAGTTGAAATTTCTGTTTTAAACTCATCTAATTCCTTCTCTTTTCTCTCACTAACAGCCCAAATCTTAATTCCATAAACTAAATCTTCTATCGACTTTTTAATCCCCTTCTCTGTAAATCAGTTCCTAACTTTTTATGGATCAACTTTAATTACTTTCTATCTCATTAACACAATATCAATTGCGAATAACATATACCATAGCTCATTTCTCACCCCATCCTGCAATGATTCGCCTAATACAGTGTTAATAAAATAAGATATGGGCTTAAACTCGATAAACTATAAAGTCTATCCTAAACCCCTAAAAAATTTTATTTTCAATACTTTCCTTGATATTCGAGTAAATTTTTTACGAAATTTCACGAAATTTATGAGACAAAAGACCTTATAAATAACGTGACATCATCAACGACAACAATTAGATTGCAGCTTTAGCGGCGATTGTTACCGAATAGACAATACAAACGTCAATTGTTGCCGACGCCATTTTCGTATCGCCGGCAGTTTCCAAGAAAAATACCGAAATTTTTTCTAGTTTTAGAAGAAATAACGAAAGAAAAAGCTGAGAAATTGTAGAATAATAAAGGGAAAAGGGAAAGACAGAAACACCGTATTTTAGTAAAGGAAATAAAATTGAAATGAAATCTTTGGAAGTCGACATTAACTAACTGACAAGAAATTACTATGGAAGGAAACCATTTTAAACGAATTCGTATTGCGTGTAAGTCACTATATTTAATACTAGCAAATAAGCCCGGCATTGCTCGGACAAAAATGAAATATTAGATTATAGCCGATCTTACCCGTTTTCACCAAGTGCAAGAATTAGGTCTAATTAGAGAATTTTTAGGTATCTGCTTACCACATCAGTATAACGATAAATAAAATTTTGATTTAAATGTTTGTATTCTATGCATGGAACGTATCTGTTCCATTTTCGTTTTTTGACCTGAAGATGGCCTGTTAATCCGACTGAAAACGTTTGTTTGTTTCAAATATATATTTCTCGGCAACAAATTAAGGTGTTTTGTTTCTATGAGTTTATTTGCTGAGCACTTTTAATATTAAAACAGTACAGTAGAAGGCAAGTTCTTCGGGGTAATCCTTAACTCGCGTAGGACGAAGAAAGAAGACACCAACGAGGGTCGAAGGCGGCCAACTTCCCTGTGAAAATAAAGCCCGCGTAGGGCGAAGAAAGAAGACACAAAGGCGAGTCGAAAACGGTCGGCTTTTCGGTTGTTAGAAATATACGTGGTACGATCCAAAAGTTTGGGGACTACAGTAATGTATGAGAACAAAAGCATGTATTTGAAATTACAGCATATGAAATTGATTCTATCAAACCTTTCCTACGAGTTCAGATTGATTTCGCCCATGTCACGTGATTAAACCGCGAGCGCTGTTGTTTTCTTTCGAAGATAGTTACCTTTGTTTTGCGACGTAATAAAAATGAAGTTTCAAGAACAGTGCTGCAGCATTAAATTTTGTCAGCGTTTAGTCAAAACACCTACGGAGACTTTAAAATTGCTAAGAAAGGTGTACGGTGATTTTACCATGGCGAAATCAAAGCTGTACAAATGGCATCAGGGTTTTAAAGAGGGCCGAGAATCCATCGCAGACGATGAACGCTCTGGCCGACCACGGAACAAAGAAAATGTTGAGTTGGTCTCTCAATATGTTCGCAAAGATGGTCGCCAAACCCTTGAAAAAATTTCTGCGGCTACTCACTTATCAAAGACTAGTTGCCAGCGTATTTTAACTGAAAATCTTAACATGCACCGAGCAAAGGAAAAGTCATGATGGAGGTGTTTTTTGATTCTCAAGGAATTGTTCATTTAGAATTTATTCCTAAAGGCAGAACAGTAAACAAGGAGCATTATCTAGACATTTTATGTCGTTTGAGGGAATTTATTCGTCGTAAATGGCCACAGATCTGGCAAAGTGGAGACTGATACCTTCTGCAATGACAACTCAAATTAATTATTTCTTAATATTAAAGGCGAACAAAAAGTAAATAAATTCACCTTAAGAGGGTGAATTTATTTGCTTTTAATGTGCTTCCACACATTGATGGAAACAAATAAAAATCACCTTAAGAGGGTGAATTTATTTGCTTTTAATGTTCTTCCATACATTGATGGAAACAAATAAAAATCACACAGGGCTAAGTCCGGTGAATAGGCGGGGTGTGCCTCGCCTATCCACCGGATTTAGCCCTGTGTGATTTTTATTTGTTTCCATCAATGAAAAAGCATTTGCAGGGACGCTGTTTTGTGTTATCAGATGAGGTGAGAGCAGCATCGCAGGAGGCCTTACGGGAGGTTTCAAAAAATGGCTTCCAGCAGTGCTTCCAAAAGTTATACGAGCGCTGGCAAAAGTGTATCGTTGCCCAAGGTAATTACTTTAAAGGTGGTTATGCATCGGCAATATAAATTTTTTAAGGTAAGGAATTTTAAGCCAAGTCCCCGAACTTTTGGATCGTACTACGTATTTTAATAATAGTCTACGTAACAAATTGTTACAATATATTGTTGCTTTTACTATTGTAGATCGACATTTTTTTAGCAAAAATTTTTTCCCAAATACTACTACTTTTTATTTATTTATTTATTGAGGTTTCCGGACAGTATTTGTGATCGAGTAATCTTCAGTAATGTAAGTAGATTGTTACATTCGATTTATAAGAAATCAAAATGGAAAAACTCGCGATAGAATGTGAAATTGAAACACATGTGTAATTCTTTTAATGTTGAATTTAATTATCAGATAATATGTAGAATTTGGTATCTATAGTGAAATGCAGTATTTGCTATTGTACAAAAATAAAAAAATACTAACAGAATATTTAAATACTGTGTAATATGACAGTAATTTCAAAATAAANTGTAACAATATAAATTTAACATAGCCTGTATAAAACCATAATTTAAAAAAATTTATATGTTTATTTATTATGCCATTTAACTTTGATACATAATATTAAGTATGTGAACTTATTTTACATATGTAGAGTATAACAATTACAAAATAGTATGCAAGTTAATAAGATTTAGTTGCAGCAAGATTTAGTTTGCACTATTACTTAAATGATATAGTCTTTAACTACATTGAACTTGTAAATATAAAAGAAGGAAAATACAGTGTACTTCTGCTAATCTAAACTAATTATTGTACAGGATTGTTTGGATTAGTGGAGTTGTATATAAAGAAAAGCAAGTCAAAAAAAGAAATACAGACAAATTTGACATGCTTCTAAAAATTAATTCATGATTTCTTTTTGTTATTGGTTGGAACATTTAGCAGAAAAAGGAACAAAATTTGTTCAGATTAACAAAAGTATACTNATTTTCTAAACAAAACATTTGTCTTTAATTAATGTGTAAATTTATTATAGATGTTTATCTACTAAGTATAAGCACCTTAATCAGGATTTCTCTGTTAAAAATAGTACTTTTGCTAATTGTTTAAATACAGTATTAAGTTTTTTTTTTTCAATTCTTGATGAAGCTGAGAAACGCGATGCTAGGTTTGATCTGGATTTGTTAATTTTGCGAATTTTTAAATTAATAATAAAAGTATCAATAATTAAGATTTTCTTAAAAAATGACCAATTTGCTCTATACGAATTGTAGTACAAATTTGGTTCTTTGCTACTGATAATTTTTTGTGTTTTCATTGTTCAAACAGAAATCCTGACTTTCACGTCTGACTGGTACTAGCGTAAACGTTTTAGAGATGAAAACTTCGGCTGCAACCTCTCTTACACGAGTCTCTGTATAACTCATATAGATTAATGCAGGGCCGGCCATCGGGGGGGTGCGGCGGATGCTGTGCACCGGGGCCCCGCGATTGAGGGGGCCCTAACATTGTCAAGAATGCACAAGAAAACTCGAAAATATTCCTATCGTTGTCAGTATGACGAAAAGTACATTTTATCGTAAACATTATTATTGTAATCTCTGAATTTCGACAATCTTCAAACTAATTCTCGGTGATGCGAATGTTTAGTTTTTGTTATTTGATTCGGGAAACTCCCGAGGATCCCCACCTAAATTCGACTTTAAAATAAAAAAATCTCAATACC